ATTGTACTTGTGCCTGATATAAAGAGTAAAGATCGGCGATGCGCCTCGGTAGTTAGAAAGTGGCTTGTTGACAAAACAATTCAGTTTAAAAAACATAATTGCCATTTTCTAGGGAGCCAGCCTAAAAATTTGAGGGGTTCCGGAATTCCTACTAATGTTTCTAATCCTACCTGGGTCAATTTCCAAATTTTTCAATTTCTAAGAGCGTGATCAATTAAAATTAGAGACGTCTGACCAATAATTGATGCGTTTTCCGGGGGATTTTCAAGTCCATTTCCTGAAACTTTTCGAGAAGCCCCGGACTATAAAAAGTGAAAAAGCGGAAGTCGTTCAATACCTTTATTCCAGGAATTGGACCGGGAAATACACCCCGATTCGCTATCGAAATGGGCAGAATTTAGGGGCCGCCACTCGACCCACCAATACCGCCACTCCGCGCCAATCCAATAAACGCGCGGCAACGTTCCCGACTAGTCTTATTAGTCCCTTTAGCATCTCACATCAAATGCTGTGTCGTGTTGTGAGGGCGAAATGTGATTCAACCCAGGCCCTTGTAAAACTTGAACCCAAAAAATATGACGATTGTCACGCTTTTTTGGGGGGTGTGGGCGATTTTTGTGGCTTTTTTGAAGATAAAAACTAATTTACAGGAATTTGCAGGGATCCAGAATGGTTTCTACTGGGCTGCAGAGAGCTTCGATTTATAGCTAGGAGCACGAATTTTAAAACCCGATTCCATAGATCGTTTAAAACGGCTTGTAGGTCCTGTAGCAGGTAGCACTGTAGGTACACTTTCTCACCCTTTTTCGGCGTTCGAATTTTACGCCATTTCCTTGCTCGGAGTCGGAAACTTTAAAAATGTCTTCCTCATTCGTTTTATTCAATTTTCACATGCGAAAAGTGAAATTTGTGGTGCCGAATATTGTAACCGTGTTTATTGCGGAATACAGTGGTAGATATTTAAAAATATCCCGTTTTCAGCCCTGCCTCTGGCACTGGTTCGTACAGACGTTCATCTGGAATGTATCTTAGCCAAAAAAAGAAATACGTGTGGCTCTTTGATTCTAAAAACTATTTCCATTTTTATTTTTGCCTTGAAAATTTAATTTGAACAAATTCTCCCTAAAATAAATGCAGAAGCTTACCGGCGAGGGCATAGTTTGATGCTTCTGCACGCTACCGTCAGGATTCATGCCGGACGAGCCGACAAACTATGTAAAATGGATGTACATAACAAATTAATGCGCTTACATTCCACTGGGTACACCCGTTGAGGTTACTACTCCGTGGGCTGTTGAGCGTGACCGGGCGTGTGACGCTGCCGGAGAGCATGCCGTTGCCTTAAAGCTCAGAATTGCAGAGATCATCTTCTTAAAGGGGTTAGGAAGTCAGCGAATCAACACTTGCATCGACAGGGTCGACAGCTGCGCCAAAGTCCAAAATTCACGTGTAAACGCCTTAAATTCACCTGGAAACCCAAGGCGCAAGGAATAGAAAAATAAAATTTACAGGTCCGTAAGTGTGTCGCGTGCTTGTCTAGATCGAGTCAATGAAAGGAGTCGATTTTCACACTTGCTATCCCCTTTAAGACCGAAAAACTAAAATTTGGATAACCTACGGTAGCTCAAATTTGACATTCCGACGTTGGCTGATTTGTCGATTGTGGTAGGGGGCCCAAATTGCGAGGTGTGACCTGAGATAACAAAATACAAAAACAAAATCGGATGTACCCACCGGTGACCACTGACGGTTTCCCGTTCTGCACCTTAAGATGATGATCTCCAGGTTGTCCTGAAATTTGTCATAAAAGATTTGGTAGCTCCACGCACCATCGTCGTTCCAAAGGCCATCGCTGTCCACTGGTTATTCGCGATTTTCGAGTTTTGAAAGTTGATATTGACCTGCCCATTGGAAGCCTGAAATGGGCTTTAAATAATCAATTAAATTCGCTCTCCTACCGTCCAATTGGCCATTATTCCATTTCCGGAAAAGGAGCATTGCGCAGAGGCGAATCCAACTATAAAAAGAACATTTTTCAAAGTATTAACAACCTACCAAACGCCAACGTAAGTAGGACCCGCAACATCATCGTGAACTCGGGATGGCCTTTGCCCGATTGACACCCCCAATAAATACATACTCTAGGCGGGGGTGTCGGTCTATTTACTTTTAAGTTTTTAACAGAAAACCGCGTTCCAACCAACGTGGGGTCTTGTGCACGCGGATATTTACCCAAGTTGCCAAAAGTGGACGAAACTCTTCAATTTCCGACTTCCTACTATAGAACTTCGGCGACTAGGCCAACTACACCGGGCACACCGGTTTTAAAAACCCGAAAATCTCAGCTTGGAAGGTTTCTTGCGCCTCGAGAACCTAAAAAAGGATAAAAACTACTGAAAGCTAACATCAGCCATAAATCCATCTCACGTTTTCTAAAAAGCAGGATATATCTTTTAGAACGTTTATCGAAGCAAAACATCATATGAACCCAAAAAAACACTAACAATAGCATCAAACAAGCTTAAAACTTTATTGCTCTTCTTTCTTCTTCTCGCTTGACGGCCCAGCCACTTCTTGCGTCATCATTCGATTCTGCGCCTCGCCTGGAAGTATCGTTTTTAGGTCTCAAAAATCTGAACCCACTCAGCTTATCGTAGAAGCAGTCCTCGGGGAAGATGGTCGGATCGTAGATGTGCTTTGGGAAATTGGTGCCCAGCTCGTTGATGCCAGACCTAAAGGAGTGCATTATGAGAATGAATAAAATCAATCCTACTTTTCTTTGATGATGACGTAGCCGCTCGGGTTGGTGAAGGTGCGACTATTGAGAAGTTGATCGTTGATGTTATATCCCTGGGCCTTGCGCTCGAACAATCGTTGAAATTTCAACTAAATCAAGAAGTACATAGAAATATACCGATTAGAAACCCACGGCCACTTCCGGGTCGGGTTCACCTTCAGCGTCTGATGGGATTTCAATGGGTTCCTGAGACAGCGAGTGTATCGAGATCATTTTCTAACCCTATCGGCTTCCGGAGTAGCTGCTTGATCCCCTGCACCGTCCGGCATTGGGCTGGAGCCATCCTCAACCTAATACGACTAAATTCTGACAAAAAGGCCATTTTAATACCTGACTTGTCGGGGTGATCCGAGCTTCTTTCCCGGCTGCCAACAAGCGTTCAATGTCATCGTCGTCAGACTAAAAGCTTTTTTTTCTTACACAACGCCTTTAAAACTGTCAAAATTCTTATTTCAAAAACTAGGGAAAATGGAAACTCATTTACCTCTCTAGCCGGCGGTCGCGGCTCATCCCTCTCATCGCTGCCCGCCGAATTCTCGCTACAAGCGCTGGAGTTTTGCGTCGGTGAAGTTGCAAAGTCATCATTGGCGTGCTCTAAAAAATAAACAATAGAAAACGTGAAAATACCTCTATCATACTTAGCAAACGAATCCTCTTCCGCCTGGTAATCAGCTAGCGACAGAAGGCTGGCCACCTAAAAATATGTTTCGAAAACTGCGTTGCCTACCTTTGACATCCCGCCCGTGCCATTCACCGCCGGAAGCGATTGCTGTGATTGCGCGGCCGGTGAATCTTTCGGCCCTTCGTCGAAATTCCAGGAAGTAGCTGTAAACAAATTAGCTAAACGCTCACAAAACTTACAAGCACGCGGGGAACCACTTCCTTCTTTGATCGTTCTTATCCCGAATGCGTCATCGTCTTCTGAAAACGAAACTGAGCTAAATTTGCCGAAAAAGGTTACCACCCCAAGTATCGGACTTCTTCTGGGCGACCTTGACGGGTGATGGCGGATGAGTGGGCACGTCAGGTTTGGAGATATCTGATCAAAATATAGGGCATAAAAACACGGGCATTCAGAGGACAGGGAAAGCGCCTGTGAGAGGTGGGGCGGCTCCAGGGCACTCCAATGGCCGCGCGTGTACTGTGCACGCTCCGCGATCCATGATCTCCCCATAGAAAGGGCCGAAAAATGGTCAAAAATTTTGAACTTCAAATCGCTATAACTTTTGAAAAGGCCATGTGAATCGGGAGCGCTGCTCTAGGAATGTAGAGAAGAGTCTGGGCTATGTTATGGAACAGTTCTCAGGCCGATCTACAGCAGAAATAAGGACTTCTATAGCTTTTTAGCTCAAAAAGTGTCAAATTCCGTCCTTTGTGCGAAGCGTTTTTCTTTGGATTTAGGCCGATTCTTTGTGGTTTTTTCACTGAACTTGCTTGGGAAAGCATTGTCAATGTTAAATCAGCCACTTTTTGGTCCTGGGAGGCTAAAATTTGTTGTTGCAAATCCGGCAAGCTTTTAATTTATTAATTTTTCGCATACTATGCTCCATAAATGATCTATTGGGACTTTTCCAGGCTTTTTGGCGCAAAAGCAAAGGTTAAGCGCTCCCTTGAGGTGGGGAATTGAACACCGCACCCTCAGACTGTGAACTCATACCGGCGCCTTGAGACCACTCGGCCACGCCCCTCCCTCCCCACGCACGCTCTGAACGCCCGTGAAAGAACCAGCTTTGAGAATGCGCAGGCGATATCTCGGGGTCTGATTCCTCACCATCGCCTAAGCGACGAGGGCTTGGAAAGGACATTGGAGGGTTCCTGAAAATAGAATAATACAGACCAAAATACAAGATTGGAGAGGAAATAGTAAACATAAAATCTGGAGCCCCAATGGCCGGTGCCGGGTAATTAGCTTTTTGGGGCTTTTCGAGGTACCCGGAATCAAGATTCCACGAAACTCGGACCCAACCGCCCAGAAAGGCATATTTTGCGTTTCCCCAAAAAGTTTGGCCCGTTTTGATCCCGCAAAACTGTATGAAAAAAAGCGATGCCGAGCCGAGCCATTTTTCTTGATAATAAATGAAAAATAACGCCAAATCGATGTCTTATCGACCGTGATTGAGGGTAGAGCCAAAAAACTAAATCGATGGGGAATCGATTTGAGCGCTAAATCCGTTCCACGAGTTTTTGTAGCTTTGCGAAGAAAGAACCGTGAAACCCGGTAGCTTCTACAAGTCAGCGGCGGAATTGAAGAATGTGTAGACATTAACGTCTCTAGATGGCTGCCTAGATGGATTCTTTAATATATTAAAACATCCGATAGAAAAACAAGTTTAATTGAACAGGGCATCTTAGCCATTTTACTAACCTTAATTTTGTAATGCTGATTACTAATGAGATGGGAGAGCAACTATCTCTGGTTTTGCTACGCTTTCCCTTTCACAAACAGGCTCGTTTCACTACAAAGAATACTTCTAGACTAGCAAACCCGGCTTTTAAAAGTAAAGTTAAAAGCAAATTTGCAACCGCTCGAACTTTATAAATATGATTGGACGTTTGCTTGCTCGAGCGTTCCAGCTATAAAAGTTGCCAACAATTGTTCGCTTTTAAAAGCACTACTGTGCAATCTCCGCCGAGCGCGCACTTGGGTTTGCAAGGGTTTCGGGCAGCAACGCGTGATTCCAAATTCCAACGGGCTCGAAAAAGCCTCATGTGGCCAAATCCCCAAAATTCGTAAATGCAGTAAGATGGAAGAAGAAAAATAAATTGCTTTATTGTCACAAAAAATAACCAAAAAAGAGCCGGATAATTCTAGACGATGATCTCGAGGAGGATCCTCTCGGACCTTTGAGCTTTCTCCGCGAAAATCTTGAGCCCGTCGTCGTTGCCCTGGTTCGATTGGTAGAAAATGCGCATCCTGGCCGTCGTTGTGGTTTTTGCGCGGGCATCAATCTGGATGATCACCTGGAAAAAGATCCGAATATGGAAGGTACGCCGAGCAATTCAGTTTTATCTCCTTATTTACTAGTTTATTATAATCATTTAGAAATAATAGGCGCCCACCTTTCCACCGGGAGGCACGCTAGAGAAGACCGGGTTAAAGCGGAAATGAAGCCGGTCCGAGCACATGATCTACAAGAGGTAATTTTTCAAGTGCTAAACTTTTCAGTACCTTGAGGTCCTGCTGGGTCGCGCAATTGTTCGTCACTTCGAGCGTCTGGGAGCCGCGGTTGCCCTTCTCCCACTGCAGCCTGTTTTTGTCCGTCATCATAAACTGAAATGAAAGGGTTGGATGCTTTACAGCCGCCTCCTCGTTCTTTTGAACACATAATTACGCTTACATTGGTTCCCATGTTGTCGACGGTCCCCTCGACTTGAGCGAGCAGGCCATTGGACATGGACACTCCGGCTGCACGGCAGAGCCCAATTTGTTGCGTGTTCTAAATTTATTGATAACTGTCTCCGCTCCAGACTCTACCGGGATCCAGCCGTGGACGAGCGCCATCTCAACCATACATTGCCGGCAATCACGTACACCTATAAACAGCAGGACGTTATCGGACTATAAACCGTAATCGATATCATGAGCGTAAAAATAACCTTTGTAGTCGACACGCCCATTGAGGTGGTCAGCCCGGGCATCACCGCAGCCACCGTGGGGGCCCGTCCAACGGCTAAAGCAACCAGTAGATAAGGAAATCAGTCTATCACCTACTTGATATCTTGGTAGCAACGCTTGCAATAGTAAACCGAGCCGAGCTTCAAAGCTTTCGTGAGGCGTTCATCACAGGAAAAAACATGCGTCGCCGAGCCGGACGCGGGCAGGCCGTTCCTCGCGGATATGCAGCATACCGAGCTGCTGCGGGGTCATCTGGGATTCATAATGGTGGTTTATCATGACATCAACCATTACCTTTTGCCGGAAAGAACGCCAGCCAACACGTCTTCGGTGGGGAAGTGCCCGTCAACAAAAACAAAAACAGAACAAAACAATTACAGCCAAGAAGTACGGACGCAAATATTTATGCAAAAACCTTATGCAAGCTGTGCCAAAACTGGTCGGCGAGTCAGTGCATGTCGTCAGCGAGTCCAAAGGGGCGTCAGCGAGCCAGAGGAGTTGTGACATCACCAGTGGGTAGAACCAAATTTTTATTACGAGCGTACCAATGCGAGCTACTCTATCGAATTCTTATCTTCCTATTTTCGCCTCTACGATTAATTCTACTCATATTTCTTGAGCTAAATTTGCTAACTTCCGGTCTGCAGAGCTAAAATTTATTTCCGGCCTCGCGTAAACCTAAAATATCGTCGGTGTTTTCCAAAGGAAACTTTTAAAACTTCCTGAAAGTTTCGGGCGTATTTGCGATTACTAAAAAGAAACCCAGCTTCTGGCTTGTTCTCCTAGGAGAGCTTCTCTTTTCCTTGTGATTGTTTTGAGCTCAAATGTGCCAGCCATTCTTTGATTTTTCCAACGAAAGATTGTTGAAATTCCAGGAAAAAGGCCCGGGCCCGTAACCATGGTCTTGGGCGAGCCGGTGTCGTTTCGGTCCGGAATTTGGAAGCACGGCCGTCCGGGGCCGTGCAGCGAGTGGAGGAAAAGAAAAAGCAAAAAAGGCTACTCAACAAAACAAACACCAATAGGGACGAGGAGGGGGAGAACTCAAAGGAAATGAGGGGCATTTCACACCGCGGGGGCGGGAGAGACAGAGCGAGCGAGAGAGAGAGAGTGAGAGAGCGAACGAGAGAGAGAGAGAGAGAGAGAGAGAGAGAGAGGCCCCGGCCAGAAGCGACCAAAACCCAAAATCTTTTCTGGAGGAAAATTCGGAGCCCTGTACCAACCTATACCTAATTTTTGTGCTTTTCTTCTTTTTAGTTGATCTTTGATGACTTAGCTTCTGAAGCCGTTGTACCAAAATCTAGGAAATCTTACAGCGATTTTTTAGGAACTCGTCAAAAATAAACTTTTTAAATTTGATGGATGTTTTTATGAGTTTTTAAGTGAAAACGACGAAAATGATAAAAACAGAATATAATTTGCTGGGTCGGCCCCCGGTAACCGTCCAGTACCTCAGACATGCTGATATTTGGTACCAATCTCCTCACAACTCCTCGTAAACCACTCAAAAAAATCCCCCACTTTCCCCCATCCATTACCCAAATTGGGGCCCCGAAATTTACGGGGTTTTCGCCCTCCAAAAAGCAATCTTTGCCCAGCGCCAAACATCTCTCCCATATCTCCCAGTCCGCCGCATTACCCTGCAACGATCCTCATATGTTTTCTATTTATTGTTTCGAGTTGTACGAAATGGGCGGCTTGCTACCCCCGATCGTGTAGAGCCGGATTAACGCCCGCCTCCCCTACTCCCTTTTTGTGGATTTAAAAGGATTTCCCGGGAATTGCCTGCATGCAGGCCCGTACGGAGGGGGGCGGGGAGGCAGCCTGCCCCCGAAATCCTCGGGGGGCCGAAAAGTACATAAGGTAGTACCCTTATGTTTTTTTCATCATTTTTGCTGCCCCCATGGAGGGGGCAGGTAATCTAGAATTTTGAATTTTCCCGCATTTTTTTGGCACTAATGTTAGGGTGGCAGATGGTGTTGGGTGTTGTTAGGAGATTATTTTGGCACCATTAATGGGCTAATATTTGGAGGAAAGGCCCAAAATAGGCAATAATGATACGGCGGTAACTCCATGGAGAAGTAACGGATCGGGATGATTGATATAGCGATAGAAAGCCCAGAGCAGGGAGAATACAGGGCGATGTAAAGCAGAAAACCCGTATTGCTAGAGCTCTTTAACACCATTTTTTTATCCTATATGCACCGTTTTTCAAAAATTTCAGCCTGCGGCGCTGTTTTTCAGTAAATTTATCGCAATTTTCGCTGTGTGCTGCCTGGGGCGCTCTCAGGCCGCCCCGGGCGAGCCGCCCCCCCTCCCCGCCCTCCGCCCCGCAATCGCCCGAAGGCCGAAAAGTTCATAAGGCGGGACCCTTATGATCGGTTTCTGGAAAATTTTTCTGCCTGCGGCGCTTTTTATAGCTGTTCGCAAGTCGGTTTTTAGTGTTAGAAACACCATTTTTCAAAAATTTTTGCCTGCGGCGCTCATTTTTTCAATCATTGAATCGCCATTTCGGTTCAAAAGTACATTTTTTGCCGCGATTTGGCCGAATCCCAGGGTTTTTCTTAACCAATTTTGCAAAAATTCGCCTGCGGCGCTGTTTTTAGAGTTTTTACACCGTTTCTCCGCCATTTTACAAAAGCGTGGACGGGGGGGCGGGAGGTCGTCAAAAATTTTTTCGGTCCTGCCCCCGAAATTTCGGCCCAGGTACGGCCCTGCCTGCATGACTGCAGACTTTTGTTTTTCGAAAAAAAAACACGGCATACATCATGCCGGCCTGCTTGACGCCCGTTTTGACTGGATGTCTCATTTCCGGCCGAAAATCGATGTTTTCGTTTTCTAATATCGAAATTGCGATTTTCACGTTCATTTCTGTGAAATAGATCTGATTTTCTTGCTCAAATTGAATCGCTGGGAATATTTAAAATTTTGAAATCATCTAAAGGATAAAATATGGTTCTCAATTATGAAAAGCTTTTTGCAAAGCCGAAGCCCGGGAATTTGGTTGTTTTTTGGTCAGACACGGCGGGTATGGCTTCCGCCGGTTGCGCTGGCGGATCAACAAAACAAATTTTTCGGATTGGGGGAACGAGAAGCCGGATTTTTACTGGCATTTAAAACCGAGGAGGTGTTTAGCATTTGAAATCAAGCCTGGAAATCATAACAAATAGTATAGCCGTTATGGGGCAAGTTAGCAGGGGTTCGTTGGATATTTTTGTGGCATTTACTCAATTTTTAGCGTTAGAGGATAGTTTTAAAGGGACCTTTACATTAGAAAAATGAGTGGCGTGACTTCCGTAAAGGAGCATAATAACAGGCGTACAATGCGTAGTCTAGTTTTAGCGGCACTTCTCTTCAATCTACGTCCTATTTGCACTTTTGTACCGTGGATTTTGTAAATTTCTGCTTTTCCCCAAGAAACTCCGCTAGTTTGCCGGTACTTTACCCCAAAAAACCCATTATTTTGAGTTATTTTCGCTGTACCCCGGCACGCAAATGACTTGATGCCGAACTCTCGGCTAGTACATCCGGTGGCCCCTCTGGATTAAATCAAGGGCCCCGGGGCCGGCCAGCTGAAAACGGAATTTCGCGGGGACTCTCCCCATTTTCTTCACTCCAGTTTTTGTGTGGCATTTGTGCATAAATGTCCAGGTAATTGCGTGGGGGCTTGAGGGTAGCTTTTCCTTCTCCCCTACTGCTTCTCCCCAGCCCTCACCTGCCTATTATTATGCCGCCGTGTATTTTGGGCCCTCCTTTTGCCTCCTCGCGTTGCTGATCTTTGCTGCTTAAAATTTCCCGAGCACGTTTTTTTCAGGAATTTTTAGTCTGCTAGTTTTTTTCTAGCCCTTTTCTCCGTTTTCCTGTTCAGATATTGACGTTTAAAGTTTTAGCTTTAAGCGTTTAAACTTCAAATTTTAATTTTTGTCAATAAGTTGTAATTCAGCAGTTTGGATTGATTAATCTCTCTTTTCCTTTTATTTTTTACTTACTTAATTTACTGAACTGTTCGCGGGGGGAGGTAATTTTTCGAAATGATCCTGTACGGCCCTATGACGAACAATAAACCATTTTGATGCATTTTACGCTTTTCAGATACAAAAATATATAAAAAATGTCAGCATCATCAATTTTTTATGTTGTTTTCTCACTTATCGCGTTCAAAAACGACTAAACAAACTATAAAATACATTATGTATTATCAATTAGCGGCAGGATAAGAATTCATTTCCCCCTGGTAAAATCCCTCACCGCTAACAGTCCAGTGCCGAAAAGCTAGAAGTTTGTGTTTTTTACTATCCGTAAAATTAATTTTTTACATTTTGCTAGTTTTTCTGAGTTTTAATTGAAACCGCCCCTGCTAAGAATCCAGTATGACCATTTCTTGTCGCAAATGTCACACAAAACAACAGTCATCTTTCGGCCCGCAAAAATTCTAAAAGGTTGCTCTCTCAGCATTGCGAAAAAAGACAGTAATTCACGGCCTCGCCTTGCGAATATATGGCAATCCCGTGAAACCACCTTATCAAACGCGGCACGGGCATACTAGCGCCCTTCCATCCGCTTCGGCATTGTTTGCATAAGGCTTCGAGCCCTTGTATCGATTTGTAGAATTGCGTGTTCTATACTTCTGCTTTTTCATGAATTTGCATAATATTTCTACATTTTTTCTAGCAAACCGCTGTCCTGTTAGCCCTTGAAGTGTCGGGCACAAATGCGAGCAGCGCGATGGGATGGTTCACCGGCATAAGGTTTTTTTTTGGCGCTTTGGCATTATCGGTGGGGGTGGGGGGTTACTAGTTACTAAAATTAAGTTACGATATCAATTGGTACTAATTTAACCGAATTGGATGTGAAAAAACATCTTAAAACTGAAAAAAAAACTGAAAAAAATTGAAAATATGCTTGAAAAGTAGATACTTTTGCACTTTTAACAAAATTTGGTCTGGTTTTTACGCCTATAAATAGCTGAAAATCCTAGAAGGAATTGAAACGTTCTAGACGCTACTTGCTGGTGGGGCTGTGCTGCTTGGTGGTGCTGTGCGTCTTCAGCCCATTTCGGGGTAAATTGAGCAGTGCACAACAACTGCCTCCAGCACAACGCCAACCCGCACCCCCCGCACCGCCGCCCACCAAAAATCCGGCGATCGCACGCAGGATTTCCGCCGATAAGGGTAGGGTTTTGCACAGCGCAATTAAGCACTGCCACCTGATTTTATTGTTGTGGTATTATTTTTGTTAAAATCTCCCCAAAAATCAAATAAATTTCAAGTTTAGGGCAGCAAAAACCGCCCGACGGGTACGGCGATGGAAAGAGCTGGCCGAAACTATTCTGCATGATCAACACCATCCCCAAAAATCATGCGACGCGCGTGACGGCCGTTTTTGTAAGTGTAGAAGATCGTTTGTAGAAAGTATTTAGGAAACGTGGGCACCGCACTGCGACGAGCACATCTTCATGACCACGGCGCGCGTGTTGGAGAAGAAGGCGACGGCTGCCAAGAGGGGCCAGAAGCGCGTGAAGAAGCCGACGTTTTGGGTCTACGATTTTAGGTGGGTTTCATTCTAGTCTAGTGGCCAATTTCGATTACATGAGATTGCCAGTGAAAAGCTATCTGCAAACTTTTTTGCCTATAAGTCTAGCAACGCTTAATAGCTTGATCCTAAATATTTTAATAGTGTTTTTAGTCAAATCAAACTATATTTCAAGGCGAAAAATAAAAAATAAAGTGAAAGTCGAAAAATCTATATTTTTTGGGTTTTTTTATAAAAGATTGTAAAGTTTTTGCGTTGTTTATTTCTATATGAAATTTGTAAAGTTTAGAGACCGTCAGTTATTTATATTTATCCCTATTATCTATTAGAAAAATGCGTAACGTTCCCACCCCCCCGATAATGCAACAGCACCAATAAATGTTAAAATCTAAAAACTCCGTAAAATCTTCATATTTTTTTGGATTGTGTCTTTTCAATCTATTTTTCCTCTCCTTTAAAACGAATTTTAGCCATCTGGGCAATCGAACGAAACCTCACGACAGTAAGGAATGGCTGTGGGACCGGATGCGAGCTGCCTTCAAACGGGTACATCAAGAGAAATTGGTAGGTCCAGGCTTCAAGCAAAAAACTTAAAAAATTTTCAGAACGATTTCGACTGGTTCCTGAAGGCCGATGACGACACGTTTGTCATCGTCGAGAATCTCAAGGAGTTTTTGACGCGGCTGGACCCGGATATTCCGTATTTTGTACTACAGCGGCATTGGTTGCTGGAGGATGGGCGGGACCCGAATCAAGTAAGTAGGAAGGATTGTGGATTTTCGCGGTACTAGACTCTTAGCGGGTGGGGGGGGCTTTTCCTCTGCCGTCCGTGGGGTGCGAATAAGGAAATACACGCCATTTATGTGGAGAAAAATGTTTGATCTTATAAAAATCTATGAAAATGATAGAAATTTTGAATATTTTTGAATTTAGATCTACGGAAGCGGTGGGGCTGGCTATATTCTGTCGAGAGCCGCCGTGAAGAAGTTCATCGAAATCATGCCAAAAGCATCTGAATGTCGTCAGGGCAGCTACAAGCACGAGGATACGGAGGTTAAACCAAAATATAATATGATAAACGTTAAAATAAAAAATATTCGAAATTCCCACTCTACTAAAATTCGATAATTAAATATAGTAATAAGCAGATGTTTTTATAGATTGGCGAGTGCCTCCGGAATGCCAACGTCACCTTTATCGACGCGGCCGACCCGTCTGGCAGGCATAGGTGCGTTTCGTAGCGGTGTAATGGGTCTTATAAGGTTTTCAGTTTTTGAGTCGTAAATTGGATCTAGAAAAATTCAATTAAATTAGGCCTGGAAAAGTTAAAAATGTCTAATTTTCTAATTTTAGCATGCTGCCCATCAATTTTGGGCATCTACTCTCGCCGCTCGACGGGCATGGGGTCGCCTGGGCCCAGGAGACGTCAATATTACCCTTGGATAAGGTAGGTAACACCTAGCAAAATTCTAAGAAGCAGAGCAAGCTAGCAGGGATCTTTTACGAAATTTAAATCTGAAAATAACCTAAAAATTCAGAAAAAGAGAAGAATAATGAAAACAAGCTAGCAGAGACCATTGCGGACGTCTAGTATTGCGGAGCCTGGAGTTTTTAACTACGAACCAGGGTTGAAAAGCCGCTTCGCGACTTTTCAACCCTGGCCCTGTCTATGCCCATAATATTCTTTTTTCTGCATAACCCTCTCGAATCCCGATGAGAAAAAGAATGAAAAATGACACTCTCTACCTGATTATATAGGCTACCGTCGCTTCCGGTGCATGCTAATGGTTTCCTAACAAAGAGGGTGACCGAAATTTTTGAAAAAACTGAAATTTAATATTTAAAGCAATTAATTTTGTAAAATCTGATAAGCGTGCAGTCATCCCAGAGCCATTACGCACCTAATGACGTATCATATATACCTTAAAATTGATTCCCTATCGAGATATCCTCCGGACATGGTGACGGAAGTTGCATGCAAAGTATCACACACACACACA